CTTCACCCCAATAAATCTGTTCCTACCTGACGGCCGCTTTGCACTGCATTCTGTGTGGACGTCAGAGACAGTGTCCATATGTCCTCTGCTGTCAGATAATGTTGTCCATCTAACAGTATCTGACCTGTCATCATTCAATTCTTAAGTAAAATGTCTTGGAGCTCAGTTGAGCTTACTTTACAGCACTATAGATGCAGTTGTGTAGTGATGTTCTCTGTTTTAGTGCACTTATGGAAATATTGCAAATTATTGACGTCATGATTATTAATGATTTTTCATGTTCAGATTATAGCATGTCTTTCAGAGTCATAATTTACTCACCTTCATGATATTTGAGTCAGTGAGTTGAACTAGAAAACAGATCAGCAAATGTATCAGTCTTTTGAGGCTGTGCTTTTCAATAAACCTGTTCAATAAAGACTGGTCACAAATCTGATTCATTCTCAAATCTTATTCCAGTTTACTGACTCAGGTCATTATACTTTTAAGGTGGATTTTTGATACCTTGAAAGCTTTCTGATACTTTAACGGTATATTTTTGTTCTATTTGGAACTTAATAGTGAGAGAGCTGCATCAAGATTATTTGAAATACTTTTGCTCCACAAAAGAATTAAGTCATGGTTGTGGAAAGGGTGAGCAAATAATGACAAATTTTTGGGACAAATATAGAGTTCTGGCATGAAACTCTAGATGGCGCAGTCCGATAGGCCTAACTCAATCTGACCTAATGACATCATTATCACATGGCACAGCTGATTGGTTCTCTCCTGTATCGGTAGCCAATGAGCTCGCTGCTCAACATTCAAATATATGACTAGTGCTTGCCGTAGCAGTTGCAGCTTGCATCAGAAACCCTCCCCCTTCCCCAGCTCCACCTGTATAGATCTGCTATAAGGTGATTCATGTATGCTATGTGGGGGTTATTTCATGTATGTTATATTTGCAGCAGCAATATTTCTTACATGCTCACAGCAGCATGTTGTGGATGTATTGGCAGTAGCAAGTCTCGGTACTTGCTCTGCCGCAGCAGCGTAGCAGATCTATTCCGCCAAGACCAAATACATTAACATTGTCATGTACATTACCATGCCAATCCCTCCGAGAGTTGTCATGACAGGACTATTTCTTTAAGCCCGTCTTGTGTTTGTTTCGAAATACTACTGGTGCCTTTTGACTCTCATATTCACACTTTCAAGTTGTTAATTGGGTTTTGAGGGAACATAGGTGCAGAGGGACCTGTAGGTAGATTACTTTCTTCTCTCACACCCTCGAACAATTAGTTCCCCCACTTGGTTCCCTTCCATCACAGCCAACACAACAGCTTTCCAGACAAGCAACTTAGCAATGAAACTCAATCTAATCCACCTCATTATACTCCAGGGAAAGTGGTAACATTTATAGGAGAGGAAGCCCTGGCAGTGCACAGATGCAGCTTGGCAAGGTCATTCCAATCCTGGCTTCCTCTGGCGACGTGTATCCAAGTGGTTCATGTCTGACTGTGGGCCGGACGAGGAAGCCTGGCGCTCTCGCACACTCAGCCCAACCCACCTCGCCTCTCACTTTGGGCACAGGCTTTACTGGAGCTTAGAGAAGAACCCACATGGTCTCAAAATACACAACAAGCACTCCTGGCTAAAACAAAGGTCTTATTGTTGAGTTAGGTGGATGGGGTCTCATTCTTTTAGAGAGGCACAGTAGATGAAGTAGTTCGATTTAGATTACTGGCTTGAGTATGTCCTCACGTTCCCCCTGAACTTTCGATAGTGTTTGTCTTTTCTTGTATTTAAAGAAATAATTCTCTCAAAAATGAAGATTTTGGCATCATTTAGTCACCTGCATGTCATTCTGTATTATTTTCTTACGTCAAAAAACACAAAGTGATTGCGATTTATGCTGAAAAAGTAATCCGTTCACACATTATTCTGTCTCTTGTGCTTTCCTGTAGACACAACAGTAGACATGGCGCTAGCAATGCCAAGGTCATGGGTTCGATTCCCAGGGAATACATGAACTGATAAAATGCATGCTGTACCTTGAATGCATTAATACAATGAAAAAGTGTCTGCTAAATGTGTAAATGTCTTCTGACGTCATACTGTATGATAGCTTGCTTTGAGGAGCAGACCAAACTTATTCACTGTTATTTTATATAAAATATAATATGGGGTTGAAACAACATTAAATGACAATGAAAATATTAAAGGGTCCACCCAGAAATGAACATTCTATCATCATTTACTCACCTCATGTCATTCCGAACCTGTATGACTTACCTACTTCTGTGGAACACAAAAGAAGATATTTTTGAAGAATTCTGGTATCCAAGCCATTTTGATGCCCATTGATTTCCATTGTATGTACAAAAACACTCTCACTTTCTCGAGATATCTAATTTTGTGTTCGACAGAAGAAAATAAGTAATATGTGGTTGGAATTTTATGATGCTGAATAAATTATAAAAAATTTTTCATTATTAGGGTGAACCATCCCTTCAACTTTTACTAATAATCTGGTTAGGTCATTGTGACAAGTGGGGGCGGGGCCGAGAGCCGTGGGAACGGAGCGAGGCCGGTGGAGTAATTGATAATGAGCGACACCTGCACCACTCACCAGTCTCGAGTCTCACGGAGGAGCTCCGGAAGGATAAAAGGGAGGAGTGACGACAGTGTCGGATGAGAGAGGACCAGGCCTGGATTTTATTTTGTGTTTTGTGTGCGGCAGTCATCCGCGAGGGGCTGCCGCTTTACTTTCATTTTGTGTTTGTTTATTTGATTAAAGTTTTGTTTAAATGTTCGCCGGTTCCCGCCTCCTTCCCGAACTACGAACGTTTGTTACATTGGTGCCGAAACCCGGGAGGAAGGAGGGACACGTTGTCAGAGAGCCCTCGCTGCTGAGGGGGATCGCGGTGCCGAGGAGATCGGGCAGCAGGAACAAGCTGAGAGACCACCGTGGCTGCCCGAGGCGGTGGTGCTGGGACGATGGAAGACGAGGTGGGACGGAGAGCTCGCTGCCGCGCTCCTGGGTCGAGGAGGAGTGGCTGCCGTCCGTGAGGGAGCGGAGGAGTCTGCCCGTTCGCCAGGAGGCCGGAGCCTGCTGCCATCCGCCATGATGG